TATTTGGTGGAATAGTGCTACTGCAGATGGGCAAAGTAGGTTTCTGGGGAACAGTTAACAGTCTTTATGATTTAGATTTTGATGCTATTGCTATTAATACTCACCCAGGGCACTCCTGTCCTCTGTGTGTGTGTTTCCTTGCTCTCTGTTGCAAGGATTTTGCCTATAAAATGTGTGCAGTAGCAACACCTGAGATTTGGAGGGCAGTGAAGTCCACTGGTCAATTAGTACACAAAGCTTGCTGGGTGAAGTAGCTGTTCCTTCGATTCGTTTTTTTAAATACTGCTGTTGACATGAAGTCGCCGGTTTGCGTGGTCAGGAGCCGGTCAGCATCTGTGCTCTGCCACGGAGGTCGGGGGGCACCAGGCCTTGGCACCCCTCATGTGCACAGCCAGGTCCTTTTGCTGCGTGGCGGGGACAGCGCTGTGACCGTCCCACGGCTCTGCCAGTGTTACGCTGCCAACGGGAAGGCAGTGGAGCTGCTGGCCTGGGGTTTGCACGGGGAATGCCCTCACCGGGGTGGGCGGCGCAGGAGCATCACTTCCCTGCTCTGCCCGGTGTCACCACCGCTGTGGTGCAAATTGCATCAAACCCAGGATTCTTCTGCCTGCCCCAGAGAGCAGAGTGCAACGCCCCCCTCACCCTCACCTTTTGTCTCGGGCTGCTGGTGCATTGAAAAGGGCTGTACAAACTTTCTGGGTGCCTGCAGAGCGGGCCCTGGGGCTGGGAAGGGGCTTGGTGCCTGGGCGCTGCACTCCCTGTGCATCAAGCACCGGTGCCGTCCTCTGCCCTGGGAGTCTCAGAAGAAATGCATAAATAATTAAGCCAAGGTACTTACACACACATGTTTTATGGCAAATGACTGTGTGGTTCGTGATCATTTTTTCCAGAAACAGGTTTTATGATAATATAGTAAAAATATTAAATTAGAAAATGCCTCACTAAGGGTGATAAAACCTTACTACAGTGGAAATAGGTAATTATTCCCTCTACAGCCTAAATGACAGTTTAAAAGAAATAAAAATGTTAGTGCTCATTACTTGCTTTTGTAGGTTGCAATAAAGGGTAAGTTAAATTTTAATTCAAGGAAGACCCCTGTATCGACCTGCTTTTTCCACACTCTCTACCTGAGGTGTAAGTACTGTTAATTACTCACATAGGTTATTCCTCAGCACATCGCTAACACCAGCGCCTCTCGTGCTAAAGTCACCTTCCCTTCGTCTGGAGGTAGCAGACTCGCAGTGGGGTGGGCTGTTTCGACTCAGTGGTTCAAGTCTGATGTTTAATACATGGGGGTGGAGGAGAGAAATTTTATATTTTTTAACCAAAATCCAAGCTCATTATACATAGCCTTAAGGGGGCTGAAAGTATTAAAATCCACACTTACCCTGGTGAATTGAAACAGAGACAAGGTTAAACCTGGAGGATTGATGAGTTTTACTCTCTACATGGTTAAATCCTGCTGAGGGGAGATGCTGTAGAAGAAAGGTAGCCTAGGTGATGAGAAGAGGAAAGAAAAGAGGTTGGAGTTTTTTTTAGAGTACAATATTTGTTCTGTTGCGGGAGTGGTGGGGTTACCTGATTTCCCCCCTCCTCCCGTCACTCTGTCTGTGCTGGGTTGTTGTTATCCAAACAGCTCCACTCCCAATCCTCACCTCAGCAGAGGCTGCCAGGCAGGATGGGGCTGCGGCGCTGCCTGCCTGCAGCTGTGGGTGCAGCCCCCTGCACCCCCGAAACCTGGGGGATGAATGGCGGAGTCTGTCAGTGCTGGCAGCGTTTCCCTGCTGGGGAAGACAAACTCTTACTTGAAGTCTCCCTGGGCCCTGTTTGCTTAAAAAATGGCTATTTAAAACCAGTAGGATTGGAGCAAATTCACCATTGATCTCTGAACTCTTGCACCCATCAGAATACCAGCAACAACCAGAAATTAAGACAACAACTGGAGGATGCTGGTTCTCCAGCAGTGGGAAAAGGCCAAGACAGACTGCAGAGAAACATTGCTTTTGGCTTGTGCCTGCTCACCAGGAAAACACAGAAGCTCTTTGGCTAGTTTCTGTGGTGTTCCCTGTATTATATTTGAACTTTTTTACATAACTGAGTAGTAGTAAAAAAAATGAAGGCATGTATAAGAGGAGAAGGGCATATGTAGAGAAACTGCAGCCAGAGTCCCTCTGTGTGGTGGAGGTGATGTTTGGGAGCAAATCCCCTTTGAATTTTGCAAAATGCCTTTGAGGTACATGCAGCCAACAGCCAGCGGAGCCGGGAGGTTTGAAGCCTGTTACCTGGGAGTGAGGTTCATGGACAAAAACCGGTTTCTGTTGCTGGGTGGCACCAGGGTGTGGAAGAGGAGCAGGAGAAGAGCTGCTTGCAGTTCACTGTGAGTGTGCAGTGGCCAGGCTGAACACAGCCTGCTGGGGAGCGGGTTTGTGCCTCCCAAGGGGGGTTTCTTCAGCCCAGTCCTTTTGTGTTGCCCGAGTGACTCAGTGGCTTACAGTCAGGACAAGGGATGTGCCCACACTGGGCAGTTCACGTCGGTGGAGGGCAGCGGAGCTGCGTGATGGATCAGGACTAAGCTCTGGAGTGGTGCTTAGGTCAGCTGTGCAAAATCGGTGGAGAGCCTGCAGAGTGCTGAAAATGCACAGAGACCACGTTGTTCCTTAGCAAAGCATGAGGGGTGGGAGCAGGTCCGTGTGTGAGAGCTGTGTTATTTCAAAGTTGAGAATCGGACTTGTCTGGTTGATGCTGATGCCCAGCGCGTGTGTGAAAACAAACCAGCTGCAGGAGCTGCACGTGCTGGAGGTGCCGAGCCCCGAGCAGGGGCAGCAGCAGAGTCCCTGCGGTGCAAGGGAAAATGGAAACGATCCTAAGAGGAGCCGTGAGAGCCTGCTGCTGCTGGGGGCTCTGCAGAGCGGCTTTCCTCCGGTGCAGGAGTGGACAGGCTGGAGGCTGTCACTGGAAACCAGCAAAGTGGGTGCGTTTGGTGTTGTCATTTACCTCCCGTCGGTAACTTTGCTCAGTACAATTAAGTTACAGTATTTAAAATGAGGCATATACCCAGGATTGGGGAGAGAGAATTAAATGGGTGATGTTTTGTTGAAGGCACCCAAAGCTGCTCAGCTTCCTGATAGGCGAACCACCAGTGTTTGTCAAGCTTGGCCCACCCGAGTGTGAAGCGATCTCCTATCAAAACACTCATTTCAGTGTTTCTCTCTCCCCTCCCGACACGCGGACTCCGCTGTGGATGGGAACCACTGCGCGCTGCCTGGGGCTTTCACCGGATCGCAGCACACATGGGAGTGTTTGCTCCGTGTAATGATGGGGTCTGAGCCATGATTGTTGGGGGCCTAAACAGCAGCA